AAGATTGTGTAAATGAACAGTGTATCGACCAAGGCTGTCGCTTTTACAAAAACGGTCTTCGAACGAGCAAACTCTTTCGTAACGGTTCGTAAATTCTCTAAACATAACGGTATTTTCCGTTAGAGCGTGTATCCAGCACTTGTCAGGTGATCACACGTCACGTGACCGCTCTCTAATGGAACGCTCTCTAATGGAACGGACGCGCTCTAATGGAATGGCTCGAGCTAGGTCTATTCGGATTTTAAAGTACGTGAGCCATGCCCAAAAGTGGAAATACATGTCGTTTTGCTTAATTTGTTTTAGTTTTGAAGACTAACTGCTTTATTTCCAAAAAAAATGCTAATATTGTTTGTAAGTTTTTAGAAATTTATTTGACAGTTTCGTCAACGATTTATATGAACCAGAAAAAAAAATAACTATATTTCCCAGCGATCGCCTTCACGGCACACGCTGATTTCAATCAATTTTAAAAGTTTTGAAGCAAATTAATTTTAACCACATCATGGAAAGAATAAAATTATCTCGCCCGATGTTATAGGCTTTTGCAAACTAGCTTTTACGGTAAACTGATCACAAATGGCTGAACTGGCTGAAACTATAACCAGTCAAACGAGTTTCTGCAAATTATATAGAAACATAAATATGCCAAGGCGTAGTTTGGTGACAGGTAGTACGTTTTCAGATAAAAATGCCATTGAGATATACGTAATTTCAATGCAGTCAAACGAATTTCGTTTTTATCACTATTTTCAAATGAATGCACTATACTATCCTGACACAAACATGTTTCGGACGCATTTTGGCACTAACAATTACGTTTTACAGCAAAAAATGTCATAAAATTATTTTTGTCTTTTGTCTAAAAAAAGAATATACTGTAAAGGGGGTAATTATTCACTGGGTTTTAATTTAGCTTATTTCGCTGAATGGAAAAATGCGCTAAATTAAAACACAGTGAATATGTAAAATTTAGCATAGAACACATTATCTAAATGACAAAACCGTGAATTTAAAACCCACTGAATATGCCTGAAATGGTAAATCAGTGAAATTTAAACCCAGTGAAAATTAGTCATTTTACAGTAATTTCAACATGTGAACAGTCATTTTTTTTCTTTTTTTCTTTGAACCGATTCTACATAAGATGGCATAAACACCAAATGTAATAATCATGATTCAAAAACAGGAGAATATCGTCATAAAAAAAATGTAATCATCAGCAAGAATGAACAAAATTATATCCATATTCGTCGTCGCCGCTGGTGGAACGGACTGTTTGCTTTCGCATACATTCTTTCTACCCACTTCAATACAATGGTGAAAGGGTCGTCAACCTCTATGGCTGAATGAGAAACGTGTCTGAATTTGATGAATGGATGCACGGTTACTACCGTGATGGATGGTTAAGAAACGGTGTCTGACCTAAAGACAAAACTACATGTGCAGTTTACTTTGGAAGAAATAACTCGATTCAGACCGTGCTAAATGGGATAAACAGATCGTGGCATCACTCTGATCAACGTCCCTGATCGGAAGAGAAGGTTGTTACCAATGACAAGTTGTTCCCTGATGTTAATCATATCGTAGGAGTGAGTGTCAAAATGATTTTAAAAATGTGACGTGTCGTCTTTCTACAAAACATGTGCAATCATTGTGCATATTCCATTCTAACGAGCTTTCTAGTTTTAACCTGATAAGATGTTAAATGAATTTGTGATTACTGCTTTTATCTCATTATTGGGCGTCAGTTTCAGACTCGTTGAATAAAAAGTGTATTTCAGGATACTTTCCATGTAAATTTGAATTCCATTTGTATTGCAGTTCAAATTTTGCTAAGTTAATTAGGGCTAAATACTAAATACATGTAAAAACTGCAAAAATACTATAGGATTGCACTCATGAATACGTAATTCTAGTGTGTTGTACTATTCACGTTATGAACTTCAATTTACCTAATAAATAGTTAAATCTGTTTTTACGGAATGGTCGAATATAACGTCGTATTTGGCACGGGATTTGTTTGCCAAGTGTCTGTACTGAATTTTGTCAATATCAGGTCCTTCCACGCTGGCTCTAACAAACAAACACGAGTGTCTAGAACCATTTCAATACTGAGTATATTATTTACTCAATGTCGTAGGTTGATCCAAAATAAAATGAAATAAAAATAACTCATTTTCAAGATGACTTCGCGTTTGCTGTCATGTTAGAAACTAATTCTGATCCTTGACCTCATGACAGAGGTTTAAATCGTTGTACTAACAATTCCTTGATTTTAATTTATCAAATACCTAAATTAAGTATTCCACTCAAGCACCGCAACGTAAATTTAAGATTTTCAAAAATACAACCGACCGTATGATGCGTAAAATATAATGGCATTCTGTCCTAAACTTAACTGACCCCGCTGATACGTATATTGCACGCGGTTTCGACGAAACATCTGCAATTTGCCCGAATTCGTGGAAAGAAACTGTAAGGCGAAACATAAATTGTTCACTAAAATGAAAAACAATCTTCACAAATCTTCACAATATTCTTTTTAAGTCAAATTATAAGACCTACTCATTGAAACGCCTTAAATAAATTGGTCACAAACGGTACTTTTCGAAGAACGTCTTATAAATAAACTATGGGAATGATACATGAGGTTCATAACAATCTAACCCCTCAACAAGTACAAACACTGCTAACAATGTGATGTTGTTCGACGAACTCTTCAGTAGTGTTGGACCAATTCTTGGCTTTAAAATGTTGAATACATGAGCTGCCTACCCGAACTCTTTCTTTTTCGACCCGTTAGCGAAAAGGGCATTTACAAACTTGCATTAAAATTGTTCTCAATTATAAAAAGGACACATCTGACAATGTTAGTAATTGCCTCAGATTTCCACCAACAATATTCAGAAAAATCGAATTAATTGTCAACAAACAACTAATTAATAGATAAAAATAATAGTATTTGGATTTCTTAAAAAAAAACATAATACATAACTTGTCCCAGCTGATATAATTAGATACAATAGACAGTCTAGGCAAAGGCCTGATTACTCTGATTACTTAATATTGTGTCATTATCAGGTGATTCCACGCAGTCCCTGAATAAACACGAGTGTCTAGAACTTTTTGGATACAGCATATAGAGTTTACTCAATATCGCGGGTCATCCCATGCTAATCCCAATTAATCACGTGCCTGTTGCACTGCTACCTGAACTGTAAATAACTCATTTTCAAAAAGTCGTTTCGTTTGGTGTTGTGTTGGAACTTATGACAGGGGTTTACATTGTTGAATCAACAATTCCTGGAATGTTGATGTCTTGTATGTTAATATACTGGTGGTCGCTTAAATCGCTTCGTGGAATGGTCTTGAATCCAGAAATTTATTTTCAACTGAATTTGTTACTGCATCACCTCTGTGTTTAAAAGGTATCCCGATTATGACCATGGTTTCGTGTTGTACATTGGTCAACCTTTTCACAGAGTTTGGTTCTTCTTAGGGCAATTGATTATGAATGTTAACTTTAATTGCTAAACTTTGTTGAGTTCAGGACCGTCACAACATCTCCTTGGCAACAGATACGTCACTGCATTCTCGCAGTGGAGTTTAGAGTTTGCCGACAAAATGCACTAACGGTCACGTGACCCCCCCCCCCATGCTGAATGAATAAGACGATGAGTTGTCAATGAACAAATTCCCTATGTTGATAACATAACCGCATGCAACATTTGCGCGGCAAACATGCAGTCACGTGACTAAGACTCGTCCTCTGTGAACATTATGACCTCTATTTTTCTTGGTATGGGTCCATTAACATCTGAACTAGTGTTCGACAAGCCTGTGTTATTCTCCGAAATAAGCCCCACTTCGTGGAGTCGTGACGTCATAACCTATAATTTCATTTGCATGAACAACATTTATCTATCTGTTTGAAGTCAGGCAAACTAATTCAGCAGACAACGACATGACACTGGGAACAACTTTGTTTATCACGAACTTAATGAATATTCAATATTGTATGGTGATTGACTCCTTATTTCGTTGAATTCAAGTAACGAGGAAGTGGCCAGCAACCGTGAGCGAGTCAGCGTGGCAGAGACTGTCGACGAATTATCCAATACACCTTACAAGACCGTGAGACTGGCTGTTGATGACCAGACCAAATTAGAACAATGGCAGAGGGTGAAAGCGATTGGATACACCACGACGTAAGTATTGCTTTATGTGAGAGTGACAAATCGCCATTTTCATGTTGGATAATTTAAGTTATTCAAACCGTCATGGCGTGGGTGCGGTGTAAGTATTGCATTATGTGACAGTGAAATACCTTGGTATTTATATCACTATGGCACAAGGCAATCAATACGTCCTGTTGCGCATGTAACGAGAGTATTGTCACATAATGTGATAGGGATATATCTTGTAATTTGTAACGTAATAGCGTATGCTGTTCAATAGGTTCTGTCGGGTATAATGTGATGTACGTAATGCATCGTGTGATAGAGACATGTAATGGCAATTGTATCGTAATAGCGGAGAGTATTCAATACGTTCTGTCACGTATAACATTACGTACGTAATGCATTGTGCGATTCAATGGTATTTGTATCGTAATAGCGGAGAGTATTCAATACGGCCTGTCACGTATAACATTACGTACGTAATGCATTGTGTGATTCAATATTATTTGTATCTTGATAGCGGAGGGTATTCAATACGTTCTGTCAGGTATGTGACTTATTACGTGATGCATTTTGTGATAGAGACATGTAATGATTATTGTGTCGTAATGCCAGATGGCATTCAACACGTTCTGTCACGTATAGCATTACGTACGTAATGCATTTTGTGATAGAGACATGTAATGGTTATTGTGTCGTAATGCCGGATGGTATTCAATACGTTCTGTCACGTATAACATTACGTACGTAATGCATTGTGTAAGTTAATAGTATTTGTATCTCAATAGCGGAGGGTATTCAATACGTACTGTCAGGTATGTGATGTACGTAATGCATTTTGTGATAGAGACATGTAATTGTTATTGTATCGTGATAGTGGATGGTATTCAATACGTTCTGTCACGTATAACATTACGTATGTAACACATTTTGTGATAGAGACATGTAATGGTATTCGTATCATAATAGCGGAGGATATTAAATGCATTCTGACAGGTATAACATTACGTACGTAATGCATGATGTGATTCAATAGTATTTGTATCTTGATAGCGGAGGGTATTCAGTACGTTCTGTCAGGTATGTGACTTATTACGTAATGCATTTTGTGATAGAGACATGTAATGGTTATTGTGTCGTAATGCCGGATGGTATTCAATACGTTCTGTCACATATTACATTACGTACGTAATACATTGTGTGATTTAATAGTATTTGTATCTCAATAGAGAAGGGTATTCAATACGTACTGTCAGGTATGTGATGTACGTAATGCATTTTGTGATAGAGACATGTAATGGTTATTGTGTCGTAATGCCGGATGGTATTAAATACATTCTGTCACGTATAACATTACGTACGCAATAGTATACAATGATGATGGATGAGGGTGTAAATCTTCGAGCTGTCAGGTCACCACCCTTATATATTATATACTTAAAAGAAAGCACACCTTTGACCAGGTCACATACCGTCGTCTCCTGGTCTACACGCACACTCCAGTAGTATTTTTGATGTTACAGACAACAAATTTGAGTACTAGTATACTGCGAATGATGAGTAGATTTTTTACAGCCAAATTTTCATACTGGAGACACCCTGCCCGATACTGCACAGTTAAAGGGATTCTCTGGAAAGAACAGGGGTATCCTCGCCCATCTGCTTCGTGCTCTCTCTATAAAGGACCATGGGTAGGATAAATTGATGGTATTTACTATGTCTAATTTGATTGTTCGTACTGTGAAATGAACTTGAGAACAACATAGAATGATGCATATCGATGCAGTAATAATGAACTCACGTGGCATTGGGCATTGATCGCAACGTGTTTTGAGAGTTCAGCGCTGAATGATATGTTTGTCGTAGTTACAGACCGTTGTCATGGAAGCAATGGCTATCCCAGGTGTAATCATCGAGATTATTCAAATTGCCTCAGGTTTAGAGTAAAATAAAACATCCATATATGAATCTTATTGTAACCAATATAGGCAACTCTTGTTTGTTAAAAATAGCTCTCCACAATAAGGACGCTAGAGTTGAACAAATTCTGATTGCACCCATACTTAACTGCATCATACACATCTAAGAACAAGATGATTACATTACGTATCTTCAATTTATACTAGATGGGTATTGCTTACTCCTCTATATTCCCGTCTATGTTCAACTATCAAACCAAATGCCCTACATGTCATTGTTCTCTGACTGTCATCATGCAAACATTTATACATTTATGGCCTGTAAACCCTCTACACAACCCGTCATACTTATCTATAAATATTTATTACAACATATGCGATTATGACATATTTGACATAATGACTCATTTGTTTTAACCAAAGATGAAATTTATTCAAAGAAAAGTAGGTATAACGCATTCATTCTAAAAAAAAGTAGGTATGAAGTTTAGTATATTCCAGGGAAAGTAGGCATGCATTTATTGTCAAGGAAATATGACATCAATTTCATGAAAAGTAGGTATGTCAA